TTTGGATAAGCTATTGTACGGAACAGTAAAAGGCAGTAATTAGTAGTATAAATTTTACCGTGTGTCCTTTTACTGGGGTCGTGAAAATTGAACACGTGATGTGGACGCAAAGATAGGCACACAGTCCTAAGTTATGTGGATCGAGGGGAATAATAGCTTTTCTTGAAAAATAAAATAAAATATATATATATATATATAATATTTAATAAATATTATAGTAAATACATTGTACAATAATTAAATACTGACCACCTAACATCCGTGAGGATATACGAAATTATCTTCATAAGTAGGTGAAAATTGAAATCCACCATAAATTTAGTATAGTAGAAATGAATAATGTAAAATATTACTATCTCCTATTTTTTTTTTATATGTCATTTTGGCATTATTAACTATTAACAAAATAAATGTCGTTTTGAATATGTTGTATATATTTTTCTATTTTTCTACGTCTTTTCATATTTACTCTTCATCTTTTTTCAAAACATTCATCTCTATTCTCATTAATGAGGGTTATTATTGGAAAAAAAAATATTCTTAATAACTGTGTAACTTCTTAAAACGACACTTATTATGAATCGGAGTGAGTATTATATTATAAAATTGAGAAAAAATATTTAAAAATTAGTTAAGGTCGATTAAATTTTGCCAGCTGGAAACAGAAAAAAACATGGATGTAATGTAAGGAAAAAATAATAATTATAATAATAAGAAAAGAAGTCACATGGGGTGTTTGCACCATTTTTTTGTCAATAAGTCTAGTGATTTTGATCTATTCTATCAAAGACAAAAGGTGTGGCATTTTCGATCATTGATACATTTGACTTTATTAGTTTGTTTTTATTCTTCATTTTCCACTACTTTATTGATAGATAATTTGTTGAATATATCTCTAATATATTCAAATACAATCAATAGTAATGCAAATACAACAACTTCGATACTATGACTATGTTTGGTGGACAAATAAGATATTTTATAGCTTATTTGGTTAGTTTATAAGCTCACTGTATTCAAATAAGTTCTGTTTGGTAGGACGAATTTTTTTAAAAAGTTCGAGCTTATTTGATAACCTTTTTTCGACAGCTTTTCATATAAGTTCGTTGAAAATTTTATTTCAACTAGCTTATCAGCTAATTCTACCAAACACTTTTATCATATAAGCTAGTTTTGCAGCTATAAGCCATAAGCTATAAACTGTAGGCTCGAAAATTACTGATAATCTATATGTTAGCTTATCAGTTAGTTTCACCAAACATAGTCGCCTACATTTTTTGTAGAAATTGTGTTTATGTGTTTGTAAGATGCATACATTTGATTTTTCTTTTTTTAAAAAAAAATTGACATTTTCATTACAACGTTTTTTTCGAATACATTTGTGTATATATTTCTAACCGAAGAAAACGATTATAGGAATGGGATTCAAAATCGAAGAAATTCATACGAAGATGGAGTTTACGGGACGACATGCCCGATTCCTCCCGGCAAAAACTTCACCTACATTCTTCAAATGAAGGATCAAATAGGGAGCTTTTTCTACTTCCCATCAACGGCATTCCACAAGGCTGCCGGAGGTTTTGGAGGGATTAGGATTCTAAGCCGGCCCTTTATCCCGGTCCCTTTTGACGAGCCGGCCGATGATCATACCATCTTAATTGGAGATTGGTACACAGCTAATCACACTGTAAGTACTTCATCTTCTTGCTGCATTGTTTTTTGGCATGTGATTTGATATGTGTTATCATATTATTATTATTAAGTTGGATTCTTAACAAAAACATCTTCTACATATGCACTTCTTTTATGGGAAACATTATGGGTTTAGTTACTTTTTTTGTAGGAAAGTAGGACAATTTAATTTGAATTTCAAATATTGTGGTCTAGTGTCTTGAATTTGAAGCTAGTAAGTTAGTAAGTTACATTGGATCCTTTTGAGAGGTCCCATTTAAAAGGATCTTTTCGATAGATCCCAAAAGAAGTACGAAAGAAATCGACCGAACTGTCAACTTGGTTCGACAATCCAGATTATCAATAAAAACATAGTACTATTTTCTTAAACATTGATTGTTACGAAAACTGTCAACAACAACAAAATGTATGATTGAAAACTTATCTTATTTTAGGAAGCTAATTTACGATTTTATTAATTTTTCTAAAACAAATTAAAAAAAAAAAAAAAATTGTCCATGTTTTTAAGTTCTTTTTGTG